TCTTACTCTTCAGATAGCCCTTCATGTTAAAGCTTACAATCTGTCAGGTCCGGGGATTGATCTTACTCTTCAGATATCCCTTCATGTTACAGCTTACAATCTGTCAGGTCCGGGGATTGATCTTACTCTTCAGATATCCCTTAATGTTACAGCTTACAATCTGTCCGGGGATTGATCTTTGCGGCCATTCGATGGGATGATGCATGGCATTTGTGGTGGAACACGTTCCTGAAGGTATTTCTGCCAATGACTCACCGCTTGGCATTTTCTCCATCTTGCATCCCTCAGATCCTTTCGCTGGAGCATTGAAATTACGCTGTAAGTGTGGCATTTACTTTCCAAATCTCAATATAAAAAAAAATACAACATTCTTTTTTAAATACGTATAGCATGAGAACGATTATGAATGTTCTTTCTTGGGGGCCAGAAAATTATATGGAAATTGAAGAAACAATGGTTGTCCTTCAGCTCATCAGGGTGGATGGATGGTTGTCCATTAGCTCGTAAGGGTTGACTGCTTTGGCAGTTCTTTCTCGGCTGTTCCATCTTGCATCCATCATTATCTCTCTGCCACTGTGCCAGATGATTCTGTGATGAGCAGGTACTCCATCTTGCAACCCCCATAATTGTGTCAAACCTGCCATCTTGTGGGTGATCAAAGTGTGTTGTTCGAACAGTGATATCTTCTCATCGTTGATCAAGCTCACGTTTGCTTCATCTTATGGGTTCCATTCAGTGTGCTGTGTTCACTTAGTCCAATCAGATAGATACTATACCATGATCCACATTTCTGTCGACGTTACATGAGGGAGGGGGGTGATGGGATACATATTCACGAACCATCTGGTTGTTGGCTTTTCGTTCTTAAAGAAAATAAGCCTCGACTCCTACCAAGAAATCCTTTACGAATATTGTCTTAAACGAAACCCCATCTCCTCTGAAGATTATCCGTCACTAATGTTCCTCTGTGAATCAGGTGTCATTTGGTATTACCGAAGATACTTGGGGCCTGGGGCGTCTGTTCTCAGTGGCTGGTGGCAGCAGAATATCTTGCCTGCATACCGATGGATGTAGCGTCTCCTATCAATATATCCTCCATGAATATTGTAAGATTTTATTTTCACATAGTATAACCATGATACTCTGGCGAGCTACTATGCAGTGAAAACTACAAATCTTAATTAAATCGGATAAAAGGACGAGTTTATAATTTAACTAAATTATTAACTGCCCATTTGATGAAAACAACATAAGATAATTTAGGCCTTTGAGTGGCTTAAACATCTTGTATCTTTCTGTCGAAGGGATACGTTCATTAGACTTTTTCATTCATTTTAATGTAAGAATGAAGAGTAATGCTCGATACAATCTACAATTTGAATAGAATGTTAAACAAGAGATGCAGTTTTAGAAAAGAATTGTCGAGTGTATGCTCCAATACTTTTGGACAGATCTTTGTCGAATCTGGAAAGAAAAATATACGGGGAGAGAAAAATAGTCATTAATGAGAGAAGTTGGGAAAAGTTAGGAAAAGATGAAAATTAGTGTAGTGAAATAAAGCTAAGATGAGAAGCACAGAAAAGAAACAGAAAGACAGAACGAAGTGCACAGGATTAAATGCGAGCTAAAGAGAATACTTAGCCTTTAACGTGTCAACAACTTGAAAACCGCCAGTGCCCTTCCTTACAAAGGTTAAAAAACACCATTCTATTCTAAAGACTCACTTCCGCAGCACATCCCCAAACATAACATACCCTCCACTCGACATCGCTGCCACAGAAAAGCACCTCCTCTTTCCCAGAGCACACCAGATGTCCACCACAGACCATACCGCAGAGGGCACGTTCATGTACAAGAGGCAAGGAGAGACCCCATCACGTGCACCAAGAGGCACCGTTCACACTGCCAGACGTCGAGGCCTAGATCACCCAGTGACCATCACTCACTTTGCCACCACGTACACGCAACCCCTTACCAGGTCACTATCGCCCATCTCCTCCATCTACAGGAGACACCCCTGACGTGATCTGGGAGAAACCGAGAGACACTGAAACAGTTCTGTGGCAGGAGAGATGGGTGCAAATACCAGTGACCTCTGAGTCCACCCGTTCCTCCCCCATTCTGGGCCCAACTCTCAATTAGGTGAATCAAAATGTGCAACCTGTTCCCTATCTATGTGTTCATTCCCCCGAGCCTCTTTGCTATACTAACCCTCTACTTCCTTTTTCCCTTTAAATGGAACCCCCCCCCCCCCCCGAAGTGTGGTCCCCTCTAAAGGGAAGCCCCTCACCCTAATAAGGGTGTTTCCCCACTAAAGGGAAGCCCCATCCCCGAATGGTGGTCTCCTACTAAAGAAGCCCCCCCCCACACACACACATGAAGGATGGTCTTCCTCTAAAGAGAACCCCCCCCCCTCCCCAGGAGGGACAAGGGTGGTCGCCCTCTAAAGGGACCCCTTCCCCCTTGAAAGGTGTTCTCTCTCTAAAGGGAAGTCCCCTCCCCGAACTCTTCTCAAGAGCTACTGTCACTCCCTACAGCTGATATTCCTAAAAGAGAGAGCTCACGTTATGGAGCTTTCCTCCCTCTTATAAGAGTTGCATTTCCTATGAGCTGTATTCTACCTAAAAGAGCTGCCCTCTCTCTATTCCCTCGAGAGTAGGCCACGATCCTATTATGAGCAACATTCTTCCTAAAGAACTACATTCCTGCTCCAGAGCTGCCCTCCCTCAGAAGGGCGGTGCTCCTTGTTAAGAGCTTGCCTGCCTCTCAAGAGCTGCTCTCCCAATCTTAATAGGAGCTGTTCTCCTTCTTAGAACTTGGTGTTTCCCTTACCAATAAAGAGCTGTCTACTCCACAAAGCGTTGCTCTCTTCCAAAAGAGCTGCCCTCGCCTTCTACGTCTACTTTCTATTCCTCTTAATACCTGCACGCCTCTTGTTAAGAGCCGCACCCCTCTAAAGATATCCCAGCCCTCTTAAGAGATTCCATTCCTCTAAAGAGATGGCTCCCTGTAACAGATTCCCTCACTCTGAAGAGCTTCCTTCATTTCAGGTAGCAAAGCGAAATGTGGTGCGTTAACTCGTGGCTATGCAATCTAACACCGTATCTGGCAAAATAACATCATTTCCCATCAATCCGGGACCTAGCTAGTCCAAGCAGGTATGTATCAGAATCCTAATTCGGACTCTGGTGCATGCTTGCCTGGACTAGCTAGGTCCCGGATAGATAAAAAGTTATTATTATTGTGCCAGCTACGGTGTTAGGTTGAATAGCCACGGATTTGTGCACCACATTTCGCTTTGCTACCTGAAATGAAGGAAGCTCTTCAGGGGGAGGGAATCTCTTAAGAGGGGTAAGGCTCTCAACAAGAGGCGTGCAGGTATTAAGAGGAATGACAGAATTTTAAGAAGTCATAGATAGGTGAAAGATGTGCGTTGATTGGTCAGATGTGTTCTTCGGCAATCCGTGAAAGCCGCGGTCTTACGCATTACATTTCGCTAAACTTCCTAAAGAGATTCTCTCCCGCAACAAAAGAGCTCCGCTCCCTCTAAAGAGCTGCCTCCGCCTCGAGCGATTGTCCCTTGTTTTACATGCTAAAGGCCAAGGCACTCCAAATTATTTCCGCTACCTCGAAAGGGTTATATTTCTGATAAATTATTTAACTTCTGCTAATTTCATAAGGTTTCGTCCGTTGTCACGTTGACATCGTTCTTCTGCTACATTGTTGCCTGACCCTTTTATAATGGGTCGCGCTTGCTGTGTAGCTCTTCATGTAAATTTCACTTTGGAAGGGGTTTCTTTTTGTCTTCTTAAATCGTAAAGTGTTTGTTAACATTATTGTTTAAAAATATAGTAATATGTCTATATATTCTCAAAGTTAGACATGGAATTTATCTTAACGATCCAGGTTTAAAAATTTTGAACAATGAAACCAAAAGATGTGAAACCAGTAGGCCTCCACCCGAATGGCTCAGCTTAAAGACAGAGACAGACAGAAAACAAGAACATACGAAACATGAAGCAGAGACAGGCAAATACAAAAACACACACAATCAGAAAATCAGACAAAAACAAGAACAAACAAAACAAGAAACAAAGACGGACATAAACATGAACGAACATACAAAACAAGAAACAGAGACAAACACGGAAACATGACGTGTCCACTTAGAAATGACTGGCAGGTGTCGTATGTGATAGTATGTTGACACTTATCTTAACATCCGGAATAGTTCAAGTTGTATGGACTTACATCGCCTTGAGATGATAAAGGTGAAGCCCGTAGTTATAAGCTTTTTATAACTTCGATTATATTTGCAGAAAATGAGCTCTATACTAATAGAGGTCCGAATATTTGTTTGTAAAACTAAATAGAGATTGATTTTGTCATATAGGTATTTGTTTTTGATAAGCTGAAAGCTAATAGAACTAATAGTAGTAATATTGTTGAGAATCAGCTCAAAACTAATAAAGGTTGAAATGTTTCTTTCATTAGAAAACTAAAGTGAGGTTGTTGCTTGTATTTTTGGGAAATAAGCTAACAACCATCAGAATTCTGAATATTTTCTCCAAAAATCAAAGAGGGATGGATTATGTTTCTAAAATATTGCACTGGTAGCTCTGATATGGAATCATAGCCTTGACTGAACATCAAAGACGGATAGAATTAGTGAAGTATACTTAATGCGCAAGCATACTCAATGACGGTGATGTGGGAAGTGGTTAGGTAGATCAATCTCAACTTAAATTGTTTCAAAATTATAAATTTGGCATGGCCGAGATTTTGTATTTGATTTTTTTTTTAAATCAAACATTACCCCCAAAAAAGAAATTAAAAAAATAGGATCCAACTTCAGAATTTTGAACAATGAAACCAAAAATTGTGAAACTAGTAAACCCTAATGACCCAAATGAAACCAAAAAATGTGATCGGGAAAATCATTAAGCACTTAGCTCTTCGGGAATCTCTTCCGGGTCATCACTGCTTGATGTGCGGGAAGCCTAGAAGGTGACCTTTGTAGGCTTCTCATTGCTTGGTGCGCGGGAAGCATCGACGGTGACTTGTGCAGGCTTCTTGCCGTCATTCATGGCGTCGTCATCCTCACCAAGGTCCATGTCGAAGATGAAGATCTCTTCGCCATGCATGTAGTCGTAGGTCTCCTCCTGGACAGATTGGTCATCCTGACGGCCCATGATCGTACCGTGATCGGTGGTGGGATAGATCATTTCGGTGTTGCTGATTTGAGGACGCTTGAAGAGAAGACGATCATGTTTGGGCTGTGCAGGAGGGTGAGACTTCATCGCACGAGACTGCTGGACTGTCTGTGCGTCTGCAAATCGAAAGGATGGTTAATCATTAAAATATAGTATCTATCCATTACATATCAGGGGATGTTTTTTTTTTGCAGAAGGTTAAAATCAATCATATTTTCTTCTTCAAATTGGCAATAATGATATTTCTACCACGACACCAAACTTCGATATAAGTTTAATGAAAAATGATATGCATTTTGTATGGAAATTTGATTTATTTAAAATAATTTTTCAACGTGCTGCCTATTTCATAATCTTTTTTTCTGTGCTCTTTTTTTTTCTTCTTCATCTTTCTTTTCTTCCCCCCTCCCCAAGTCTTTTGTGTGTGTGTTTTTCCCTTTAATATAGTTAGTATCCTTTCCGTCACTTATTCTCAATGACATTGTCATACCTGAAGGTTTTGTTTTCTGACGTTGCCTGGCGCTCTTTTGAGTTGTTCTATGGAACTTGTTGGTGGTGTGTTTGCTGTTGCCGTCTGGTTTTGATGTTGGAGGGCGAGGTGCCGGATTGGCGTTTCTGCGGTTGCCGTCTGGTTTTGATGTTGGATGGCGTGGTGCCAGATTGGCGTGTTTGCGGTTGCCGTCTGGTTTTGATGTTGGAGGGCGTGGTGCCAGATTGGCGTGTCTGCGGTTGCCGTCTGGTTTTGATGTTGGAGGGCGTGCTGCCAGATTGGCGTGTTTGCGGTTGCCATCTGGTTTTGATGTTGGAGGGCGTGGTGCCAGATTGGCGTGTCTGCGGTTGCCGTCTGGTTTTGATGTTGGATTGCGTGGTGCCAGATTGGCGTGTTTGCGGTTGCCGTCTGGTTTTGATGTTGGAGGGCGTGATGCCAGTACCGGAGGGCGTGGTGCCTGAACTGGAGGGCGTGGTGCCAGAACTGGAGGCACATCAAAGGAAATCAGTTCCGGTTTCTCCGGACTGATATCCACCTTCACAAAAATAATGATTAAGCGGACTAAGTTTAGACAAGTTTTAGACCTTGTCCAAGCAAGTGGTTTCGGGTGGGCTTTTTATATATGGAACGCTAAGAGTCAGCCTCTTCCTTCCATTCTCGTTAATGTACATGAGTGTTATCCTGCTTGGGGTATTACTATTATGGACCGCTAGGTTTCGAGTAAACCATGCATAATAAGAATCCATTCTAAAAAAAGAGGCAACTGCTTAAAAAGTCACATCATAAGAATGGGGATTGATCTTATTATCCCCGACAGATTCTCTGCATGCTTGTAAAGTTTTAATAAACTGTATCTTTACAAATAAGAACAACTTGTCTATACATACTATAATTATAATTCATTTGAAGTTATTTTAATATTTAGTTGTCCTGTGTTATAAAGTTATCTTTATTGTACATTTTTTTCCGTTTGCGGTTTGTTGCATTTTCCATGTTTTGTATGGATATAACTTGATCTTTATTTTGACTTTGATATTTATTTTAAAACCTTGAACCTACCATGCCAGAGTTTCGTTTCCAGTCTACTGGACGTCCACGATTGCGTATATTATTCTTCTTGGGGCCGGTGGGTGGGCGTGGTCCAAGAGGCGGTTGCTGCAAGGGCGTGGTGGTGACGAAGGTGGAGGCAGTAGTGGTAGCGCTTGCTTGAGGCGCCACGGTTTCAGGGGTCATGGGGGCGTTGTTCTGCTCACTGCTTGGTGCGCGGGAAGCCTCGCAAGTGGCTTTGGCAGGCTTCTTGCCATCATTCATGGCGTCGTCATCCTCACCAAGATCCATGTCGAAGATGAAGATCTCTTCGCCATGCATGTAGTCGTAGGTCTCCTCCTCGACAGATTGGTCATCCTGTTGGTCCATGATCTTACCGTGATCGATGGTGGGATAGATCATTTCGGTGTTGCTGATTTGAGGACGCTTGAAGAGAAGACGATCATGTTTGGGCTGTGCAGGAGGGTGAGACTTCATCGCACGAGACTGCTGGACTGTCTGTGCGTCTGCAAATCGAAAGGATGGTTAATCATTAAAATCTAGTATACATATCCATTAAATATCAAGGGATGTTTTTTTTTTGCTGAGGGTTAAAATAAATCATATTTTCTTCTTCAAATTGGCAATAATGATATTTCTACCACGACACCAAACTTCGATATAAGTTTAATGAAAATTGATTTGCATTTTGTATGGAAATTTTAGTTATTTAAAATAATTTTTAAACGTGTTGCCTATTTCATTTTTTTTTTCTGTGCTCTTTTTTTTCTTCTTCATCTTTCTTTTCTTCCCCCCCCCCCTCCCCAAGTCTTTTGTGTGTGTGTTTTTCCCTTTAATATAGTTAGCATCCTATCCGTCACTTATTCTCAATGACATTGTCATACCTGAAGGTTTTGTTTTCAGACGTTGCCTGGCGCTCTTTTGAGTTGTTCTATGGACCTTGTTGGTGGTGTGTCTGCTGTTGCCGTCTGGTTTTGATGTTGAAGGGCGTTTTTGATGTTCCGGTTTCTCCGGACTGATATCCACCTTCACAAAAATAATGATTAAGCGGACTAAGTTTAGACAAGTTTTAGACCTTGTCCAAGCAAGTGGTTTCGGGTGGGCTTTTTATATATGGAACGCTAAGAGTCAGCCTCTTCCTTCCATTCTCGTTAATGTACATGAGTGGTATCCTGCTTGGGTTATTACTATTATGGACCGCTAGGTTTCGAGTAAACCATGCATAATAAGAATCCATTCTAAAAAAAAGAGGCAACTGCCTAAAAGGTCACATCATAAGAATGGGGATTGACCTTGTTATCCACGATAGATTCTCTGCATGCTTGTAAAGTTTTAATAAACTGTATCTTTACATATAAGAACAACTTGTGTATACATACTATAATTATAATTCATTTGATGTTACTTTAATATTACGTTGTCCTGTGTTATAAAGTTATCTTCATTGTTCATTTTTTTTTCCGTTTGCGGTTTGTTGCATTTTTCATGTTTTGTATGGATATAACTTGATCTTTATTTTGACTTTGATATTAATTTTAAAACCTTGAACCTACCATGCCAGAGTTTCGTTTCCAGTCTACTGGACGTCCACGATTGCGCATATTATTCTTCTTGGGGCCGGTGGGTGGGCGTGGTCCAAGAGGCGGTTGCTGCAAGGGCGTGGTGGTGACGAAGGTGGAGGTAGTAGTGGTAGCGCTTGCTTGAGGCGCCACGGTTTCAGGGGTCATGGGGGCGTTGTTCTGTGAGACGATTGGTGCTGACGGCACAGGTGGCAGTGGAGCTTCACGCTCTTTCCGTGGATGCACCATCTCATATTCTTCTTCGAGTAGCTCCCCATCTTGAAGGGTTGAGGAAACGAGATAATAGTAATAAACATTTTGTTCCGTGTAAACAAGATCAGAAAAACTTTCAAGAAATCAAATTATATAGGAAAGGTTCACTAGCCTATTTGGTTGCCTTCGGAAATCTTGTTCAGATTACGTAATGCCTTTGTTATGTCATAATATATTTCATTTTTGTAAGCCTTTACGATCAGCTGTGTTATACCCTTTCCCATTTGTAATTGACTTAACAAAATTATGTTGGGTGTTTTGTGTCCGAACGCTTAACAAAAATAAAGCTGACAATCAGCCATGCATTATTCGTCTACGGCTGATTGTCAACGAAACGGAGTTAAGTCTTTAGTTAATTCCGTTTGTTGCTACGGCAGACAGCCAGTGAAAACGAATCCGTTTAAAAAAATAAGGAAATGCAAGCACTACTTTAAACAAACAGAACCTTTTTATTCCTAGCTGATTCGTTCTGATTGAGGTGTCATATGAAAGGGCAGAAACTCAACTTTCTAGAAATGTGATTTTCTCTTTGAAATTCAGATACTGTCCGCCAAATGACTTTTTGGTTTCCTCTCTTTAAATTTATTCTAATCACTCATGTGTGAAATGTGCATCATATAAATGGCATCAAATGAAAGAAGAGGATCTAAGCTTTCCAGACATGTGTCATTTATTAATTATAAATGTAAATAAGTTATGATAAAACATCGACAATTCTCGGTTTCGTTTTTTCTGAGACGCACTGTATATTAATGATCCACATGATTATTTTTCTTGTCATCATCATTAGTATTTATGGTTTGTTCGATAAGCAGACCCATGTGAGTAAATTGTGTTTTATGCACCCATTTATGGTAGAAATTTAAATGCTTAAAGCGACTTGGTAACATTGTTGAAGGTTGATGAAAAATTGCTTAATTTTTGTATAAAATGTTACTTACTATATTTCTTTTACTGTGCTAACCCTCTGACATGCAAAAATTCCTGAAAAAATTCTCAAACCACGAAGATATCTATGGTTTTCTTTGAAGGAGTCGATGTATGACACCCTCTAACAGTGATTAACAGTAAATTCTGCCCTCTTTCTCTCTCTCTCTGTGCACATAAAGCATTTAATTTATGCATAATTTTGTCTTCTCTTTCTCTCTTTCTGTCTATATACAGCTTTATCTCTCTCTCTCTCTCTCTCTCTCCATCCATCTTTTTCTCTTTCTCTATCTATATCTCTTTTTTTTTTCTCTCTCTCTCTCTCCTTCTCTCTGCCTACATTATATGCAGTTTTCGCTCTTTCTCTTTCTCTTTCTCTCTCTCTCTCTCTCTCTCTCGCTCTACCCCTCTGAAAAAAAAAAATGCTGACATGGGGGCAGTCATGTGTCAAACTAATTTCGGGGCACTCTTATACACAATATGAATAATTCTTAAATATTTGGCAAATCGCGATCACTTTTTACTACAAATTCAGGAGAAATCAAACAAGTTGGGTCTGACGAAGTTCTGAGATAAGTCGGACACATACCAACTTTCGTATTACGCAGTGTTAACCCAGTTTTTTTTTGGTTTGTTAACAAACAAAAAGTAAAAATTAGTTTTAGCCAATGGTCATCTCGTTTTTAGTAGAGCCCTTATTAAGTGTTTAATATGCAACGAACGGACTGTCATAGAAAGAAGGGTAATACAGCTTTACCGGGGATACATATGACCCACCCCTCGCCGAATTAAAAGAATATCAATTTCTTCGGGGCGAGAGTGTATGCAACACCCCCCCCCCCCCCCATCCTCCCAATTCGCTATCTATTGAATAAAATAGTACCACCATCAAACAAAAACATCATAATTATTCATCCCACTTCCCAGCATCATATAAAGACAAATCAAATGCACAAGCTAAGATATTTACGAATGTGTTAAACCAGGGTTATAATAATAAAGTAATAAAAGTGCCCTTACAATCCCGATGTATCAGTAATTGTATATTGCTGTTATACACGTCCATTTCATCCTCAGTTATCTCACGTCGAGGCTCTGGACGTGGAATAGCGGGGCGGGGTTTTCTTCCTTTAAGTGGAGGCAATTTTTTCTTTGGTTTTCCTTTCTTTCCGCCCATACTGAAATTTGTTTCCTATTATGTCTTGTAGAAGATTTTCTTTTTCAGCTAGATACTTGACTTGCTGCCTCGAATGTGTGTAGGAATCGCTATAATGTGCCAATGATTTTGTTGTGAAATTGCGTTGACATGGTATGTGTGCGCATGTGTACTTCGGCGCATTTAATTGTGACGTAACAAAGATTTAGGCAATGCGCGCACTGCGCCTTATGGGCGTGATAATATACGGTACGTGCCGGTGTAGAATGAATTGTCATTATAATTGTTATTGTCATACCTCTTGGTCATATCACTGTTATGTAAATCGTACAGTGGGCCTAGATCCTACAAATCTGCATATCTTTTTGGGGCAGGCGTGTAAAGTCAAAATAAAATAAATATAAAAGTGGTAATATCCCCAAGATAAAACAGCCTGCCCGAATTTTGTTGTTATATCCATATGCACATTTGCGATCAAATCTATCAGAGTACTTAGAAAGATAAATAGATAAATAATATTTCATTGCAGCGTTCATGAATGACAGTTCTACAACTGAATTGCACATGAATTACACAAAATGAAAATAAATACTTTTTAAAAACTACGGAACATTTAGTTATTTTTGTTTGATTGTCATGTTGCTACTGCCTATATATACCATAAACCATTGTAAAACAGTTGAACATAATTTCAAAAATAAAATGTATAAACATAACTATATGCTAACATATTGACTAAGAGAATTGATATCTTATCAGTTCTTCATATTTCAATATTGCATTTGTGAGTATAGTGGTATTTGAAATAATTATACAAATTCAAAAGTTCAAATAGCAATTAAATATCATTAAAACATATTGGTACAATGTACTAAATCATTAAAAGGATGCACACGAATCATAACATTAAAATGATAAATTATTAGGATGAATATAAACACGAGCATATTAACTTTTATTATACAGGCGAATCGAATTTGGTATGAATGAATGAATGACTGACTGAATATGACTATTTGCGACCTGTTTTACATTTCGAATTCGGAATTTTCTTTGAATCATTAAGTGTTCTAGTACATTGTTTATGTGGGAGAAATTGTTTAAATTGATCAGTGAGTGAAAAAATGTTTTTTTTAAACGTTACACATAAATCTTTGCGTCTTTTGTCTTAAAGATAATTCAAACTTTTGGGGAAATTTTGAAAAATGGGTGGATAGTGATTCTTTACAATTTTAATATATTTGGATGCCTTGAGGATGCACTATAAGCACTAGAAATTTAGCTCCTGAAACACTTCTGCTTTCGACAAAAATTGAATATCAAAATTTACCGGTGCTCCCTGTAAATTTTGATAAATTTCAATAGCGTCTACGGCCGTACAATGGTAGCTGCGACCATGAAAATCTCAGAACATGTAGTTGTCATATATAATTTTCAAACGGGAATAGCTAATCGGTCGATTTTTAGTCAAGAGACATTGTTTTATAGCTCAATTAATATTTTGACCTTGGGAGCTATACAACATAAAGAATTAATTATTTACAATTTCATAACTTTAGACTCGATTTCAATCGCGACAACGATCTCTAAATCTTGTCGGATCGCATATGCTTCCAATATGTTCATTTGAACAAAATCTATGACCCCAGACCAAAATTCTATATTACCTTTCATGAGCGGAGCTGAGATTGATCAAGTGCATTTTTATAGTCATTATAATCCCTACTGACGAAAAATTCGTCACTGTTTTCACGAAGTGACGGTAGTGAGGAAAATCCGCACACAAAGTGAATGCGATTTTCATTCACTACCGTCACTTCGTGAAAATAGGGACGAATTATCCGCACTCTATTTTGTATATCCTCCCCAATCTCTCGTTTTGTCTCAAGTGAGTCCTCCAATCCAAACAGGACTAGCATATTCAAGTAAGGGGCGAATAAAAACGACCAAAAAAGTAAAAAGGTTTTCCTTTGGAAGACCATATTTCACCAAAGAACGAACCAGCCATTTTGTCGATGTCTCTAATGTGAGACATCATAATGATAAAAGCACATGAGTCCGACAAACGCTGACAATTAAAAGGAGGCGCGATAGCTCAGTCGGTAGAGCAGTGTTCTCGTATAATCCGGTGACCCTGGTTCGAAGCCAAGTCGTGCGCTAGTGCCCTTTGGTAAGGCATTAATCCTCATTACCAGGTCCCTCGGAGAGGAACTAAAGCCGTCGGATGTCTGCTCGCTTACTTACAAGCACTTTACTTTATGCTTTCTTAGCAGTCAGGTAAAAATAACCACCAACCAAAAGGCTGATGGCCGGGTGCCTACCCCTGGACCCCACGCCGCGTCGGTAGCACGACCGCATCGCCCTACTGCGATACAAAACATTATTCAGCCCCCCCCCCCGTACAGGCCATTGATATTATACTTTTTTCATATTTTTAAAACTATCTGTTTATGTTGTTGTTGTTCTGTTGAATTTATTCGAACTCATTACACATTCAAAATTCAGAAATGGTTGATGATTCATTTTCTATTCTTCTCTATAAATATCAAAGTTACTGGAAAATGATTTAATTGACATTAATGTTTAAATGATTTTTATGTTTACTTTAATGATTAAATGATTTATAAATTTATTTGCAAGCCTAGGTTCATATTAAGCACAAGTCCAGGCTTTTTCGTCCGTATTGTCGACAGTGCAGGCACAACTTGTGACTACATTTCCACATTTTTTCTCATTAAAATTGATCGTTTAATTGTAAATTCCTTTATTTAAAATTGAGTTAGATGTTTCATTGTGTATGTAATAATTCGGTAAAGAACTAGGTCCTACCAAGCAGTGAACATTAATTTTGGATTTGCTTAAAGGCATCGTTTATTAAACAATATTTAATCTG